AAAAAAAAAAGAAAGAAAAGAAGGCCAAGAGTGTGTTCCCAGGCTCTGACACCAATTCCACATCCTGGGCCAATCCCATCCTTAGAACCTGGCCAGTAGGGCTCTTACCAGGCCATGCACCTCAGGGGCCTGTGGTCTAGGGAGACTTCCTGGAGATTTGTGTAGCCCCTTTGATTCCTGGGACTAGTTAGGACTGACTGTGCCACTGAGACAGGCATCCTGACCGTAGACTGGGGCATTTGTGGGCCCAGTCCCTGTTTCTCCCCTTCAGGATACTCTCTGACCTCCCACCATGCTGGGATTGACCAGACACCCATGGAATGCTGGGACTTGTGCCTGCAGGGCCATGCTGAGCTCTGTTTTAGGCAGGCAGCCTGAAGAGTAGACTATTCTCACTGGGCAGTGTAAAGACAGGGCAAAGATGTGACATATTTCTTTGGAGTAACTCAAATTGTTTATATAGATAAAGTCACAAAGAGTTACTTGCCTAGCAACTGGTACTATGGGATCTCTGCTTTTATCCCTTTGGGTAGTGTGCTGGGGGTCCCCAGCTGGATAGAGCCTGGTGTACCCTCCAGGGTCCTCACTGTAGCCCCTGGTCCCCAGAGCCAGGACTGCATAGCAGCAGCATTGGCCTGCAGCAAGCTCCTGAAGGAAATGTCCAAGGAGGAGGAAGACACAGACTGCTCGGAGGAGATGCTGGCACTGGCAGATGAGTATGAGCTCAGAGCCATTGGTGAGTGCTACAGCCCAGCCTGGCACATGATCATCTGCCCTTCCTCCCTGGATGTGAGCCCTGTGGGGACCCAGGCCACCCTGGGTCTTCTTAGCCCCACCCCCCTCACCCTGGGTCTTCCTCCTTGGGCTTTGGTGCCTTGGGATGTCAGGCCCACCATTCTTCCTTCTGATAGTCTTGCCACCTTACCGTTATCCAGAGGAGCCATCTGGAGTGGTTGCCCGCTAACACTGTTGTAGGGCTGTGGAGTGTCCACGTGTGTTCTGATGAGCATCCTCCTGCTCCACCCAGGGGTCTTCACTGAGTGCTACCGGAAGGATGAAGAGAGGGCTCAGAAGTTGCTCATCCGTGTGTCTGAGGCCTGGGGGAAGACCACCTGCCTACAGCTTGCCCTTGAAGCCAAGGACATGAAGTTTGTGTCTCACGGAGGTGTCCAGGTGGCCAAGGGTCCCTGTTCCCAGGACAGGTTTCTGGATGCTTCTGGAGAACACAGCCCCTCATCCAAAGACAGCATGCATTTCAGATATCAGTGACTCAGGATAGTACCTGATTGCTCCAGGCCCAGAGGAATCTTTCCTCTTGTTTTGCAGGAAACTAGTTAAGCAAAAGCAGGTGGCTGGTTAGTCTTGAAGGGCAATGTTCCCATTCAGAGCATCAGGCATTTTTCCCTGGGGATCTCAGGCAGCCAGGTGTCTGTCCCCTCATCTGCATTTAATGTGTGTCCAGCCTTCACTCTATGTACGGAGCCTCAGAATAGACAAGTGGGGAGGAAGGGTGCAGAACATCCCTGGAGCAGCTGGGTGCAGGGAGTTCCTAGAGGCGGCTGCTCTAGTGTTGCCTGGGCAACTGTAGTAGGGCCTGGAATGCAGCAAGTGCCCCCTCAGATGAGGTGTTTCCTGGAAATGTGACTTCATGTCATCCCCGATTTACACTGAGAACCACCAAGGGTACTGGGGAGCATTCTCATTCCTGCCCTACAGAGCTTAATGAGGCCAGCTCTAAGAACCTGTTGCATGGGCTGGGAGGCTCCAAGAAACAGCATCCTGCAGCTGGAGCAGAGATGGGATCTAGCGTCTAAGCTTGAGTTTGAGGCCTAGCCCAACCTTTGTCATTCACCGTGGGAGGTCTGGCCAGCTCTGCCACCTCAAGCCCCTCCCTTAGCATGTGGATGTTGGTGGGCATCTGGCCTGCCTGCCTGCCTTATGATGTCAGGCTCAGAGAGCACTATGACTGTGAGAAAAACTGTGACAGTGTGTGTGATATGATGTGAATGTCACATGAACAGAGAGTGACTGTGTGTGAATAGAGCAGACATGTCTTCCCACCCCAATGTCACCAATGCAAATGCACAAGCCTTGCTTCTGCCTGGCCAAGGGCTGCCCCTACCACTCCTGGGAGGGCAGTGGCATGGGCATGGGAATGGGTGTGAATGGTGGAGGTGTCCTGGGTGGTAGAGCACTCTTCTAATGCTGTCCCTCTGTCTGTCTGCAGGCCTTCCTGACCAAGGTGTGGTGGGGCCAGCTCTCTGTGGACAACGGGCTGTGGCGGGTGATGCTGTGCATGTTAGCCTTCCCCCTGCTCTTCACCGGCCTCGTTTCTTTCAGGTGCTTGCTGGGCGGCAAGAGTGGGAAGCTGTGCAGGAGGGGAGGCTGAGGTGACTTGAGCCCTGGAGTCTTAAGACCCTCCTTCCCCAAACACCCTTGTTGGGAATAAGTAACGTATGTCCATATGGTTCCAATGGAATCTTGTAGCACTGGAGATGTATGGGATCAGGATTTGGGAAAGAAGGAGCTCACACTTAGGATGCACCAATTGTGCACTGGCCATTGAGCATTCATGGTGGGCCAAGCACCCACTGTATATCCACACTGCACTGAGCACCCACAATGAGCCCGCTATCCACCATGCACTTAGTATCCACCATGCATCAAGCACCCACCAAGCACCAAGCACCTGTCATGCACCAACAACACTGTACACCAAGCACCATGCTTATTTTGTGGGTACCATCACCTTCCTCCCCTATCAGGCCTTGAAGACCAGTGTCATTATTCTGTCCCATGCAAATACCAAGGTGAGGAGGAGGGTGGTTGGATACAACGTGCTGGCACACATCTGTACAGATGGTCTGCACAGAGTTACTAGCCCACAAGCATGGGGGCAGGTGGGAAACTGAATCTCAGGGGCCAGAGAGAAGCAAGCCCATGCTGCCCATGTGACCACTCTGCTGTAGCCATGGTGCTGTGAGCACTGCCCCTGGCTTCCCCTGTGGAGAACAGTCCTTTCTGACTGCCCTCCCCACCATGTCTTATCTGGAGAATACCCTGCTGGCAGGTAGAGGGCATGTGCTAGGGGCTTGGTGCTAGAGTTGCTGTCTGCCAGCAGGTGCCAGGAGCATAGTGCTCAGAGAAGCTATCTCCTGAGTGTGACAGAGCTTGGTGCCACAGCTGGTGTCCCTTGTGGGTGATGGAACTTGGTGCTGGGGCCAGTGTCCCTTGCAGGTGAAGGAGCTCGTTTCCAGGGCTGGTATCCCCTTCAGGGTGACAGAGCTCTGTTTCAGGGCCGGTGTCCTCTGCAGATGATGGAGTTTGGTGCCAGGGAGGGTGTCCCCTGCAGGTGGCAGAGCTCAGTGCTGGGGCTGGCGTCCTCTGTGGGTGGTGGGAGTGTAGTTCTGGGCCATTTATCTAGGGCAGTGTTCTCACTCAGGTCCAGGCACCAACCAGCATGTGCTGCCCTAAGGCAGAGTGTGTGCCCTTTTTTGAGAGCCCCATAGTGTACGGCTGTGGAGGACATTTGGGAACAGCACCAACAGCCAACAGGGGCAGATGGCACCCTGACCATGTTTTCCAGGTGCCTGCCCCCACTAGCTGGACCTATCTCTCTTCTTGGCTACCTGGGGATGGGGGTGGCAGATAGGCTCAGTCCTCATGAGCACTCAAACCAAAACTGAAGTGTGGAGTGGGGGCAGGAAGCACTGTGGTAAATACTAGGCGGGGCCGAAAGTGCCTGACTCTTCTTCCCATAGGAGGGAGGTTGGCCAGACAGTGATGGGAGGCTCAGTGACCACTGGTGTTCTCCTTGGGCTCAGGCTGACCAGGCTGGGCCTTGTCTCTGCTCTATAGAGCCTGAGACACAGAGGCTCCATCTGAGTCTGGCTGGTCCTGGGGCCAGCCGCACAGCCTTTCCCACAGCTGTTGCTGGATGTAGTCCAGCCTCTGTGGCACTGTGAGGGGCTAGGTGCCCGAGTGGGCAGGGCATCTGGATTGAGCAGGGCATAGGAGTCCACATAGAATTGGATGGTAGACTGAGGCTCCAGAGCCAGCTTGCTCTTCCCACCATCCCAGGGAATGGCAGCATCTTGTTTGTCAGTAAGGCCCTGTTTCTGCCTGCATTCCTTATGATCCTTATACAGTTGTCCCAGGGCAGAATAGTTCACACTTGCCTGTCCCTTGCAGGTGAAGGAGCTCGTTGCCAGGGCTAGTATCCCCTTCAGGGTGACAGAGCTCTGTTTCAGGGCTGGTGTCCTCTGCAGATGATGGAGTTTGGTGCCATCTCATGAGAAAGAGCTGCCAGAACAGGGGCCTCATTTCTGGGTGGGCAGCTCAGGCCTGAAGGGTCACTGTCTGGCATCATAGCAAGGCTGGGACCTAGACCAAGCTGGGTCTTCATGTTGGGCTGGGGCTTCTGGTGGGAGGTGGTAACACTCACAGTACAGTATAAGATTCCCAAGTCACATTCTCTGAGTGTTCCTGAAGAACAGTAGGGGGTGAGACAGTGAAGGGACTGTAAGGTCCTGGCTTGATGCCCCCTTCCCTTTTCTTCTCTTCAGTTCTCTAACCATTGAGGTGTCACCCCCATCCTGCTATAATCTCCCTTCCCCTAGCCTTCTCCAAGATGTGACTTCCCAAGAACCTCACTGACTTTGGCCAGCATCTGCCCCAGCTTGTTTGGCTGACTCTTAGGACTTGGATGTTCGTTACAGACCCAGTGAAACCTGAGTCAGATGGCCATCTCTGGGGGTCTCCATGAGGACACCTTTTTCCTGCTTTGCCTGGCCCAAGGCCATCCCCTCCTTTGTCACTGGATGTGGAGGGATGGTCACTTAGACCAGGCTGTGTCCTGGCTCCTTCAACTAATGGTAGTGTGACTGGGCACTGTGTGTGACCCTTCCCAGTGATGCCGAGGCTCCCCAGGGCACAACACCTGGCTGTGCAGAGCTAGGGCTCTCCTCACTGTGCCCATAGTGCCCACTCTCACCATGCCCTCACCCACAGGAAGAAGAGGCTGCAGTCTGAGAATGGCCTGGCTCGTGTCTGTGCCTTCTTCAATGCGCCTGTGGTCATTTTCCACCTCAACATCCTCTCCTACTTTGCCTTCCTCTGGCTCTTTGCCTATGTGCTGATGGTGGACTTCCAGGCCTCTCCCTCCTGGCTTGAGTATGTCATCTACTGCTGGCTCTTCTCACTGGTGTGCGAGGAAATGCGGCAGGTGCGGCTTCTGCCCTCCACCCTCTTGAAGCCCTTGGTCTCGGCAGTCCCTCTCTCACTCCCTCCAAGCTTTTCACTTTTTCATGGAGACCTTTGGCCAAAGGCCATCTCCACTGAGCCCCACACAGTTGCTGTGATGTGGTGACCCCTGTATGCTGCTTACACCCTTCCTTCTCTCCCCTGTCTCCAAAGGGCATGCCCCATGTCTCTGCTTCTCCCATCCCACCCTTCACACCAGTAGCACCCATCTGTGACACTATGGGGCCTAGTGTGTCTTGTCTCTCTTCTGGGAAAGGGTTGTCACCACAATGTCCCCATGGTGCCAGCCAATGGACCTGACTGCGCTGATGGGACCCTTGGGCCTGGGGTGGGGGTGGCTGTTGGTCAAATTGAGAATAAAGCATCAGGTTACCCTTAACTGACTCTCCTCTCAGTAGCTCTTCTATGACCCTGATGGATATGGGGTACTGAAGATGGCCTCCTTATACTTCGGTGACTTTTGGAATAAGCTGGATATTGGAGCCATCCTGCTCTTCATAGCAGGGCTGACCTGCAGGTAAGGAGCCAGGAACCACTCTACCTTCTTCCCACACCCTGGGAGGCCCTCCTGGCCCAGGAAGCAGTCTGTGTTGGTGGTGGTGGGGGAGTCCTAGATCATCTGCCCTTTTTGAAGCTGGTCCCTCTCTGGCCCCTGCTTATTCTCCTATCACCTGTCCAGTGGGTGTGTGAGGAAAGCTACCATGCTCACTCTTGGATTGTTGGAAGGAGTAAAGGCAGGAAATGCTCAGGAGAGCTCACTGTAAACCACAGAAAGCTGTCCACATGCAGGGCCATTGACGTTGACTACTGAGCTTGCGCAGTGCCAGGGGCCTCAGGGCTCCCTCACTTCCCTCCCACCACCTGTTAAAGTCACCATGGCTGCTTCTCCAGGACTGACCATGAAAAAGGAGGGACCAGGCCAAGCCACCTTGTTTACCTGTCTGAGCTTTAGCTTCTGGAACTTTCTGAAGAAAAGCCCACTCCCCTTGGAAATTCTACCCTCTCAATCTCACACAAGTTTTTAAAACACTGGGTTCCAGGGTCCCCCAGAGCCCTTTGCCTGGACTGGGCAGGAGAAGAGGGGGCTGGTGCTTAGGGCTCCTACTGTCTCAGTACCACTGCCAGCTGTCTGGGGAGCAGAGAGCTGAGAGGGGTCTCTCTTTCCTGCACTGCCAGGCTCTTTCCAGCAACGCTGTACACCGGGCGGGTTATCCTCTCTTTGGACTTCATCATGTTTTGCCTCCGGCTGATGCACATCTTTACTGTCAGTAAGACGCTCGGGCCCAAGATAATCATCGTGAAGCGGATGGTAAGGGGAGGAGAGGGCCTTCATCTGGCCTAGGGAAAACCATGCTGGATGCAAGTGAGGTGGACAGGGCTTAAGCATACCCATTAGGCTCCCCTGTCCTCAACTTTGCCTTTAGGGTTCCCACCCTATGGAATGCCCTCCTCCTATATCTCCTCTTCCAGGAAGTGCTTTCTGATTTTCCTCTCTAAGTGTCCACAGCCTCTCTAAGTGTCTCCTGTCCACAGCCTGTTTCTTACATCTATTACAGCTTTTATAGCTTCCTCCCTTAGGTCATGGTTATGTCTGACTCCTCCTATACCTCATGGGGTGCTCAGCTCAGAGAGGGTGTCAACACACCTACTGTGTTCTGGAGGTCAGCCTTGATCTACTCCCTGAGGAGCTGCCTGGCTTTACATGTCTACACTGTTGGTGGCACTGGGTTCCCCACCATTGCTGGGGGGTGGGGGTGGGGTCCAGCTCACAGTGATGCCTGTCTCTGCAGATGAAGGACGTCTTCTTCTTCCTCTTCCTATTGGCGGTGTGGGTTGTGTCCTTTGGGGTGGCCAAGCAGGCCATTCTCATCCACAATGAGAACCGGGTGGATTGGATCTTCCGAGGGGTCATCTATCAGTCGTACCTCACCATCTTTGGGCAGATCCCAGCCTACATTGACGGTAGGAAGCTGGGCACCTGAAAGCAGAGCAGGGGACATGGGCTGGGAGGTCAGGGTGTATTTGGAAGGTGACCCTAGGAAGCAGAGAGGGAGGCAGGGGAGGAGGAAAGGCAACCAGAGGGTATGATATTGAGCTCATTGCTGTGAAACAAGGCTGGACTCCAGCAGGATCACCTAAAAGCTCAGGATGACAGAGGGAAAAGGCTAGCCCTCAGAGGTGTATACATGACCCACTTGAAATGAGAGGGGTCAGGATAAGACAAGCCTGAGCTGTCTCCTGCAACTGCAGCTGAGATCAGGTGTGGCTTGGAGAACTGGGGCATCTCCTGACATCTTTCCCCCTTCCCTGGACTAGATGTCCCTCTGCTTCCCTGCTTCCTTCATCCCAGTCCAAAATACTTCCTCCTTTTCTTGAGGGAGAGAACATTTTTTATATAGTGAGTTTTTGTTGTTGTTGTTAGCAGTATTATTGAGATATAATTTGTATACCATGAAGTTAATCCATATAAATTGTGTAATTCAATGGTTTACAGTATATTTACAGAGTTGTGCAACCATCACCATAATTGAATTTTAGAATATTGTCATCATTCCAAAAAGAAACGTGTTTCCTTAGAAGTCTCTCCCCATCTTCTCCAAACCTCTTCCTCTACCCACCAGTCCTAAACTCACTGCCATCGAGTGGATTCTGAATCATAGTGACCCCCATTGATCAATGGAGTGATTGGTGGGTTTGAACCACTGACTTTCTGGTTAGCAGCCAAATGCCTTATCCACTACCACTCACCAGTCCTAGACAACCACTAATATACCTTCTATTTCTATAGATATGCCTCTTTTGGACATTTTATATAAAAAGGATCATACGACACATAGTTTTTCTTCTGACTAGCTTCTTTCACTTAGCATAATGCTTTCAAATTTTGTCCATGTTGTTCCAAGAATCAGTCCTTCATTGCTTTCTGTGGCTGAATAATTTTCCATTGTATGGATATGCCATATTTTATTTATCTGTTTATTAGTTGATGGACATCTTGTTTTTTTCCACATTTTGGCTATTATGAGTAACGTTGCTTTGAGCATAATGAACAAGTTTTTGTGTTAGCGTATGTCTTTAATTCTCTCAGGTACATGTCTAGGAGTAGAATTGCTGGCTCATAAGATAACTTTATGTTGAGGATAGTGTTATGTTGTTGTTAGGTGCATTGAGTTGGTTCCAGCTCATAGTGACCCTATGTACAACAGAATGAATCACTGCCTGGTCATGCACCATCCTCACAATTGTTGCTATGTTTGAGCCCATTGTAGCCACTGTGCCAATCCATCCCATTGAGGTTCTTTCTCTGTTTTGTGGACCCTTTATATTACTAAGCATGATGGCCTCCAGGGACTATTCCCACCTGCTAACATATCCAAGGTATGTGAGACGAAGTCTCACCATCATCTCTTCTAAGGACATTCTGACTGTACTTCTTCCAAGACAGATTTGTTCATTTTCTGGCAGTCCATGGTATATTAAATATTCTTCATCAACATTATATTTAAATGCATCAATTCTTCTTTGCTCTTCCTTATTCATTGCCCAGCTTTCATATGTGTATGAGGGGATTGAAAATACCATGGGCTTGGGTCAGGTTCACCTTAGTCCCCAAAGTGACATCTCTGCTTTTGAACACTTTGTAAAGGTCTTTTGCAGCTGATTTGCTCACAGCAATATGTTGTTGGATTTCTTGACTGCTGATTAAATGGGCATTGATTGTGGATCCAAGTAAAATGAAATCCTTGACAGCTTCAATCTTTTCTGGGTTTATCATGATGCTGCTCAGTGGACTATTTGTGAAGATTCTTGTCTTCTTTATATTAAAGTGTAAAATATACTGAAGGCCATATGCTTTGATCTTCATCAGTAAGTGCTTCAAGTCATCTTCACTTTCATCAAGGAAGGTTGTGTTATCTGCATATCTCAGGTTGTTAATGAATCTTCCTCCAATCCTGATGCCACATTCTTCTTCATATAATCCAGCTTCTCAGATTATTTGCTCAACATATGGATTGAATAAGTATAGTGAAAAGATGCAACCCTGACACACACTCTTCCTAATTTTAAACCATTCAGTGTCCCCTTGTTCTGTTCAAACAACAGAACAGCCTTTTAGTCTATGTACAGGTTCCTCTTGAATATGAAGTGTTCTGGAATTCTGATTCTTTGCAATGTTGTCCATAATTTTTTATGATCCACACAGTTGAATGCCTTTGCATAGTCAATAAAACACAGGTAAACATCTTTCTGGTATTCTTTGCTTTCAGCCAAGATCCATCTGATATCAGCAGTGATATCCCTCATTCCATGTCCCCTTCTGAATCCAGCTTGAATTTCTGGAAGTTCCCTGTCAATATACTGCTACAACCATTTTTAAATTATCCTAAGCAAAATTTTACTTGTGTGTGACTTTAATGATATTGTTTGATAATTTCTACATTCTGTTGGATCACCTTTCTTTGGAATGGGCACAAATATTGATCTCTTCCCATCAGTTGGCCAGGTAACTGTCTTCCAAATATCTTGGCATAAACAAGTAAGCACCTCCAGTGTTGCATCCATTGTTGAAACATCTCAATGGGTATTCCATCAATTCCTGGAGCCTTGCTTTTCCCCAGATCCTTCAGTGCAGCTTGGACTTCTTCCTTCAGTACCATTGGTTCTTGATCGGGCCCAAGATAAACCTCCAGGAATAGCTGGACATCAATCAATTCTTTTTGGTACTCCATCTTCTTCTGATGCTTCCTACATCATTCAATATTTTGCCCATAAAAAACTCAAATGAAACTCACCACCATCGAGTTGATTCTGACTCACGGCAACCCCTCATTTGTTTCTAAGGCTGTAAATCTTTATAGAAGTAGATTGCTCCATCTCCCTTTCATAGAGTGTCTGGTGGATTTGAACCACTGACCTTCTGGTTAGCAGCCAAATGCCTTATCCACTACTCCACCAGAGCTCCTCGTTTTGCCCAGACTCCTTTCGGTATTGCAACTTAAAGCTTGAATTTTTTCTTCAGTTCTTTCAGCTTGAGAAATGCTGAGCGTGTTCTTCCCTTTTGTTTTTCTACCTCCAGGTCTTTGCACATTTAATTATAATACTTACTTTGTCTTCTCAAGCTTCACTTTGAAATCTTCTGTTTAGGTCTTTTATTTTGTCATTTCTTCCATTCACTTTAGTTAATCTCCATTCAGAGTCCTTCTGACATCCATTTTGGTTTTTTTTTTTTTTTCTTCTTTCCTGTCTTTTTAATGACCATTTGCTTTCTTCATTATGATGTTCTTTATGTCATCCCACAACCTATCTTGTTTTCAGTCATTGGTGTTCAATGTGTCAAATCTATTCTTCAGATGATCTCTAAATTCAGGTGGGATGTAATTGAAGTCATACTTTGGCTGTTGTGAACTTGTTTTAATTTTCTTCAACTTCAACTTGAACTTGTATATGAGCAATTGATGGTCTTTTCCACAGTCAGCTCCTGGCCTTGTTCTGACTGATGATAATGAGCTTCTCCATCACCTCTTTCCACATATGTAGCCAATCTAATTCCTGTGTATTCCATCTGGTGAAGTCCAAGTGTATAGCTGCTGTTTATGTTGTTGAAAACAGATATTTGCAGTGAATAAGTCACTGGTCTTTCAAATTCTGTCTTGCGATCTCTAGCATCATTTTTATCACGAACGCCATATTTTCCAACTACCAATGATTCTTGGTTTCCAACTTTCACATTCCAATCACCTGTACTCATCAATATATCTTGATTGGATGTTTGGTCAATTCAGACTGCAGAAGTTGGTAAAAATCTTCAATTTCATCATCTTTGGCTTTAGTGATTGGTGTGTAAATTTGAACAATATTGTATTAACTGGTCTTCCTTGTGGGTGTATGGATATTATCCTGTCACTGACAGCATTGTACTTCAGGATAGATCTGGAAACATTCTTTGTAACTATGAATGCCATGACATTCCCCTTCAATGTATTATTCCAGGTATAGTAGATCACATAATTGTCTGATATGAAATGGCAAGTACCTGTCCATTTTGGCTCACTAATGCCTAGGATATTGATCTTTATGCATTCCATTTCATTTTTCACAACTTCAAATTTTCCTAGATTCATACATTCCACATTCTGATTATTAATGGATGTCTGCAGCTATTTCTTCCCATTTTGAGTCATACCCCATTAGCATATGGAGGTTCTGAAAACTTTACTCCATCCACATTATTAAGGTTGACTCTGCTTTGAGGAGGCAGTTCTTCCCTAGTCATATTCTGAGTGCCTTCCAACCTGAGGGACTCATCTTCTGGCACTATATCAGACAATGTTTCATGGCTCTTCATTAAGTTTTCCAGTAATATATATCGGACAGTTTCACTGCTGTTCATAAGGTTCTCATTGGCCTGTTTTTTCAGAAGTGGATCTTCTTCCCAGTCTGTCTTAGACTGGAAGCTCTGCTGAAACCTGTCCACCATAGGTGACCCTGCTGGTATTTGAAATACTAGGGGCATAACCTGCAGCCTCACAGCAACATGCAAACTACTACAATATGACAAACTGACAGACAAGTTGTGGTATAGCTATTATAGTGAGTTTTTATTTCTGAAAATTAGTAATACTTGCAAAAAACTTTTTTCATCATACAATAGTACATGCTCATTGTTGAAGGATTTTAAAATTCAAGATAAATGTAAAGAAAGATGCTATCTGTAATTCCATCTCTCAGAGTTAACCATATATTCAGTATGTTTGCTTAGAGAATATACACTGATGTATTTCTTATGTTATATTACATAATTTGGGAGCTCTGGTAGTGTAGTGCCTAAAGCACTTGACTGCTAACCAGAAGGCTGGTAGTTCAAACCCACCAGACACCCCTCGGAAGGAAGATGGGGCAATCTACTTCCATAGTGATACTGCCTCGGAAACCCAAGGAGGGGTCACTATGAGTTGGGTCCGACTTGATGGCAC